AGAGTGAGCAGCCGAACCTGGCTCCAAGGAGGCTCCCGACTCCTAGGCCCTATTCTGTTGTCACATTTCATTCCTGAGCTGAACTCCTGTCCCTGGTATCACCAACCCAACCCTCCAGTCTCTGCGTATATTCATTCATTCATTCATTCATTCATTCATTCAACACAAATTTCCTGACCGGCTACTGTATTAGGTTTTAAGGATCAATCCAGACATGGTCCCTATGTTCATGGAGCACATAGGCGGAAGCAGAAAAAAGTCTTTGATAAAAGAAATGAAGCAAATCGAACAAAATATCATTGCAACTAGAAGGTGAAGTCTATAGACTTAGGTATCTCTCTGTGTGTCACTGTTGCATCCTCATCACTCTGAGAAGCTGGCTCATGGCTGGTCCTGAGGAACATTAGTTGAGCGAAGGCTGGCGAGTGCACTGTGTTAGTGCAGCGTGTAGAAGTGTGACAGGGAGCATGTACAATGGGGGCCTGACCTCCCCTCTGAGGTCAGGAAAGGCTGCCTTCAGGAAGGGATGCTGAAAGGGGAGTGGACACTAACCAGATGAAGCGAGATACAGCGAGTGATGGTGCGCTAAGTGAAAGTGGACAGGAGGCTCTGGAGGAGTGGAAAGCACAATCCCAGCTGAGCAATACCCCTGGCAGCCATATCAAGAGCAGCAGTCATAAGATGGATCATAGAAAACACTGGCAGATGCCAGTGAGAACTATAGAACCTTCTCTTTATACAACAGTCTTCAGTCTGGCATACCTCTGTGAGGGGCATCATATTATTGACAATTCACAAGGACAGGCCAGGAAGTACTGTCCCAACTTTAGCAGAGTAACTGAGGTCTATCGTCTCTGTGTGTTGTCAAAGTCATATATCTAAACATGTGTGGGACTCTCTCCATATGTATGACCTTATCTGGCACTCTCACCAGCCTTTAAAGGCAGGTATTAAGATCCTGATTCCATACGTGGGGAAAGTGAGTTTCAGCAAGGTTAACTAGCTGGAACGTGGGTGGCCAAGTTGGGATATAAAGCTATGTCTTTCTTAGTGTCTGAATTGTACCTCCTCCCTCCCCCCAACTCATATGTTGAAGCCATATGTCTCTAGTGTGTATTTGGAGATTGAAACTATAAAAAAATAATTAAGATTCAATGAGGTTAAAAGGGTAGGGCCCTCATTCATCAGAGTTATTGTCCTAATAAGAAGACACACCAGAGAGCAATCATCTCTCTCTCTCCTCCCCTCCTTCCCTCTCTCTCATCTTCTTTCCCTCTCTCTGATCCTCTTTCTCTCTTTCCCTTTCTTCCTTTCCCCCTTTCTCCCTCCTCCCCTTTCTCTCTCCCCCTCTCTCCATCTCTATATCCACCTCTTTCTCTCTCCACAGATGCTCACAAGCAAGTCATGTGAGGACAAAGTAGCCATCAAAAAGGTAGGAAGAGAGCCCTCATCAAAAACAGTTTTGGCCTCCAGAACTCTGAGAAAATAAATTGATGTTGTTTAAGGCATTGGCCTATGATATTTTGTTATGGCAGCCCTAGCAAATTGATATAGTCTTGATGTATATCTGCTGTTGTTATCTGCTATGACACACCTCTTTCCTTAGTTCATGATAAAGAGGGACAAGATCCTGGATCATCTAGTGGTCAGACCTAGGCTGCTTCTGTTGGCTCTACTCCGTGGTGGGCAAACCACGGCTCGTGAGCCATAGGCGGCTCTTTGGCCCCTTCAGTGTGGCTCTTCCACAAAATACTACGTGGGGGTGCGCACGTACAGTACGATTGAAACTTCATGGCCCATGTACAGAAGTCGGTATTTTGTGGAAAAACCACACTCAAGGGGCCAAAGAGCCGCATGTGGCTCGCAAGCCGTGGTTTGCCGAACCGCAGTTTGCCGACCACTGGCCCTACTTCCTGTCACTGACACCACTAACTGAGGGGGTGATAGCAGGGTCCGTGGCTGAGCACTCTAACCCCACCCTTTCCTCGTGGTTTTCTCAAGACCAAGGATGGACAGTCATAGACCTCAAGGTGTGGGCGGAGCCAGTGACCTGTGACTGTCCTAGATCCAGCGCCGAGAAAAGACATTCACAGAGTGCTTCCGGGTCTGGGCAAGTCAAAAGTTAGCACTTTTTATGTGACTGAGAGTGATCATATTAAAGGAGGGCTGTGAGGCTCTGCCTCTGCAGGCAGAGCTGAGTACCACCTGCTGCTTCATCTAAATGCCTCACTCTCTTTCCCTAGCCTCTGGGTAAACACCAGCATCTGCTGAAGGGCCCAGTGTGGATTCACTAGCTAAGTGTACCTCAGTGTTGCTTAACCTCTTTCTTCCTCCTTGTCACTCATGTTGAAAATGGGGTTAATAACCTGTCTGCTCAGCACTAACATGATGTCTGGAAATCAGTAGATGTTTTTATTATTATTATTAATGACTCCAAGCACTTCTACTTTACAATGAAGATTTTAGAATTAAGTCTTTAGCCCTTTTGCCTTGGGCTGAAAGTAGAAAACATTCCTATGACGGTGACTTCCCCATGGAAACAATAATCTGATAATTCATTTGGTCTCTGGGCTGGGTTCCTCTTGTGTATAGAAATAGCAGAATGGTTATCCTTTTTAAAGGCCACCAAGTAGAAGCGGTTTTTTTGTTTGTTTTGTTTTTTTGGGGGGTGGGGGTGGGGGTGGGGCAGGACCCTTTCCCTGAAACATATAATGGCATTTCATATGTGTACATGCCTGCCACTTAAACTGTACAAACCAAATCCCTAAGTCTATCTACTAAGGATAAATCAACCAGGGAGGTGGAGCAGGCAAGCCTGTCTCTGAAGTAGGCTCAAGTTCAAACACATAGGCATTCAGGCAGGCAGAGGAAGGAAGGAACATGCGGTACCCACCTGCCACTGCTGATGAGGGGCTTATTTCTAAGACACACACAGCACAATGCACACACCATGCAGAGAGAAAACAAAAGACATAGATCACACATTTCAGATGGTTGGTGGACGCCGTTTAGTCAATGTCAATGCCGAAAGCTTTTGCAGTGTTGGATGGGCACGTGGGAAAATGAATACCTTTCCGTTCTACTCACCAGATGCTTCCCTCCAACCACATCTCAGCAAATCAACAAATACAGACACACAAGAAATCTCACAACAAGCTGGCCCTGGTCCTTGGTGTGAAACGTGGCACAAAGGAGATGGACACGGCAGTGTGGGAAGATTTAGTGAGAGAAGGACAGGGCTTCCCAGGGAGGCCGCCCTGGCTCTGGGGCGCTCTCCATCCGTGTGGGAGAGAAAGGCTTCCACAGAGAAAGGCTTTGACGCTCCCGCTGTGGACAGAACAGTCCTCATGAGGAGGCCTCAGAGGGCTGCTCTGTTCCTTCCGATGAATGAGGACATGACACGGCAATCAACACGAGCATCATGATGGCAGCAGTTGACTTGGCTTAAAACTACAAAGCCAACCCCCCTCAAAATCATACTCTTACTAGAGAAGTTACCTGAAGATTACATCTAATTTGCCTTGCAGATCTTCCCATAGCACTACAACTGAACTGTCCCAGGGTTCTGTGTTGTTATGGCAACCACCATCAGACTTGGTTCCGACTTGGGTTTACCCCTTTTGTAAGGTGCAAACCTTGCCTTTCCGTAGACCAGGGGATAGAAACACCACTGTTCCACATGTGAGGGGAGTGACAGGGGGAAGCGATTTGTATCCAAGGGTGGTGGGTTGAGCGGTATGGATGGACATAGGCCAAGCAGCTCATGCCTTCCTCCCTCACGTCCCTCGAGCCCCTCACGTGGCCGAGCCCATGCGCCCAGGCTTCCCGCACTCACCATACAGTGTGATGCTGGTGTTGGTGTTCCCAAGCTTGTTTGTGGCCACACAAGTATAGTTCCCATAATCCTTTTCTGAAACATTGAAGAAAGTCAGAGTGGATATGCGCCCTTTATTCTCAATCCTCACGCCGTCCAGGCCGGTGGCTAGCCTGCAACAGAGAAGGCACTGCTGGTCTGGTTCTACAGATGGAGTAAAACAGCAGACAGAAGGTGTTGGGAGAACTAAGATACTATAGGCCAGTGGTCGGCAACAGAGCCAAATATCAACAGTACAACGCTTGAAATTTCTTTGGAGAGCCAAATTTTTTAAACTTAAACTATATAGGTAGGTACATTGTTATTAACTTAATTAGGGTACTCCTAAGGCTTAGGAAGAGCCACACTCAAGGGGCCAAAGAGCCGCATGTGGCTCGCAAGCCGCAGTTTTCCGACCACGGCCATAGGCTAACCCCACAAGGAGGCCTTCCCCCTCCCAAACCCCCTTTCCTCAGACTGACCCAGTTCCTGCACCTCGAACCATAAGCACCATAGCTCCCATCAGCAGGGAAAAGAGAAGGATGCTAACATTCCAAAGGCTACATGTACTGGTTCTCATCATCAAAGACTGCCATGTGTACAGCTAACCTCAGATTTGGAAATAAGCTCAATTCATTAGCCCATTTCCCAGCTTCCTCCTCTTTTTTTGTGTCCTTGTTTCTGGTTCTAAAGGAGCCTCTGTTATAAAAAAGGCGGTAATGCATTTTGGTTCCTCCCTTACTGCACCCCTCTCCTCCCATGTAGGAAATGCTCTGTCAGCTCTGCTCACACAGCCCTGTTTCCATTCTCACGGTACCTGGTGTCTTCCCTGAACCACTGGAATTCAGCGTTGGGCACGGCAGACGCTTCACAGCTCAGGATGCCCTTCTGACCAACGGACACACCCATGTTCTTGGCTTTTGATATATAGGGAGGGTCTGTGGGGAAAAGGTAAAGCAATTTCATGACATGGATAAAGGGCACATTCAATTGTCCTGTTGACAGATGGATTTCTTCTGGCACCTTACCTTCCCAGTTAAATTACCAACTATTTTAGGGGAAACCCTTCTTGCTTGAAGATATTGCCTTACCCCAGCATCTTCTTTAGGACTTTAAACCAACTCAAAGCTATCCATTCTCCCCATTGGCTAAGAGCTGTGACAGTCACAGGAAGACTGGAATGGGGCACAGCAATCTAGTTAAGTATTTTCCTGATGGAGACAACTGGGTCTTTCAGAAAACAGCATTGCCATTACCAGCTTGTCCCTCTTAGCCCCTCCTCCATCTCTCCCCCCACCCCCCGGACTCCCTGACAATGGTCAACTCACAGTTTACGGTGATTTTGACTTTCCGCACATCAGGAGCAGCCACATCGTTCAAGGCGCTGCATTCATACTCCCCGGACTGGTCACGTTTGATGTCAGAGATTTCCAGGTATTCGTCCTCACTCACAAAGCCCTGGCCTTCTGGGAGCAAAGGAGCAGACAGAGAGCAATCATGAAACTGGGAAACCAGGGACCGAGCACATGCACGTCTAGAACTGGGAGGAGGAGGGATCTGAAGCGCTGCAGAGAGGGGATTTAGACATCAAGGTTATAAAACGCCACGTTGGTCCAAAATGATGGCATTTGAAGAAAGGACTTTTCTGCTTGAGTCTTGGATCAATGCCTTTTGGCCAACTCACTTTAACTTTTTAGACTATTTGGTGAGAAGATTTTTTTCTTATATGATTCGTATGAGGATAAACTAAGAGTACATGCGAAACAGGACAGCACATTACTAGAATTTGATATTTTAGAGAATTGCCCTGGTCAATAATATAACAAAGACTGTGGGAATAACTTTAGAGTATGTTAGTATGGCCACCTTCATTTTTTCACTATGTACAAATGCCTTTGAATACAGAATACAAACTACTACTTCGTGCAGAACCAATAAGTGGCCACTTAACATGTTAATACAAATAAATGCCAAACAGCCAAACGGTTTGGTTTCAAACTGTGAAGGAGAAGATAAAGTAAAGAATGAATGAATAAGAAAGGACTTTGTGACTGCTATGTAGTAGGTGTGCTATAATCTCTTGCCAACATAAACATCATAGCCCCAAATGATGGATCCGCGGTTACTAGAATGGTCTCAAGGATTAAATACCCAGCTTTGTGGGGGGCATTCTGGAGGCTTAGAGGGAAACTTAAAAAATTTCAGGGAAGACACTACAGAGCATGGAGCCTCCTGGGGCTTGGGGTAGGGCCCTATCTGTAGGAATCTCAGAGTGATGGTGCTGGTCGCAGCTCTTGACCCCAACAGACATTTAATCAACCAGGTTAGTTCATATCGTAATTCCTCAAGGTTCATTAGAGGGATATATATATATTCATATTCCTTTTTTCCTTATTTTTCTTAGACTTAGAATTTCATAATTAAAGGAGATTCTAAGATCACTCATTTCAGGGAGTCTAATAAAGATGAATATTGCCTCACTTGTTGAAATAACACTGGATGACCAATCTATGATTTATAAAGGTTAAACAACAACAAAATTAAACACACCAAAATGACTTTGTAGATTCATTGCACTGTTCCTTTTCTGCAATGAATAAATGTGGCGGGATCGAAAGTCTGGCTTCCTTGGAAGACTCTATTATTCTTTCCAAGTGCACTAGAGGGTATTTGCCACAGGTAATTCAACCCCATCGCATTCATCCAAACACATGAGCAGCCCGCGTGCAGGGGGCCTGACATGTGCCTCAGGCTGGGTCCCTGACCCCTCTCCTGGGAGAGAAGGGGATAGACCATATCATGCTGCACGATGTAGACAAGACAGATGCCGTGAAGGTCAATGAATACAAGTCAATGCAGGAGTGATGGCTGCTCAAAGGGAAGGGTTCCATTCACAGAAGAAGCAGGCCAGTGTGCCAGAACCCCGAGTGGTTCCCCGCATTTGGGAGTAGGACAGTTCCTGGGTCCTTCTTGGGAGAAGAGAGGGAATTCATTTTCACCATCTGTAACGCCCTTTTTATGGGATGGATATGTGACAGCAGAAAGGAAGGAAGTGTTTCTTGTAAAATGGGGATCATTACGATAATGCTACCTCATTAGGTGAGAGATGAATTTGTCAAATTTGTGCTGTAAAGTGAGTGCTTCTCAGATTTTAATTTGCATATGAATTCTTCTGGGATTTAAAATATATAGAGAGAGCTCTGAATCAGTGGGCCGAGAGGGGGGCCTGGGATTCTGTATTCCTAACAAGTTTCTCCGTGCTGCGGGGCTGAGGCCCACTCTGAGCAGTGAATCTAAAAGGCACCGCCAACTGCTGCTCTAGGCTCCTCCTACTCACACACGTATAGTTACCTGGGCCTGTGAGGTGGCCAGTAGGTCAACAAGGGCCACCGAGTGCCCCCAGTGCCCAGGTCTCTGCGGAGCAGCACATCAAGAACAGGGCTCGGAGGGTCCACGGAGGCTGAGTGCCTGAACCCCTAAAGCTAACATTCCCACCAAGTCTTTATGGTCTTACTCCAAAACACGCATCCTGTCAACGCAGCTCCTTTGCTAAGAAATGAGAGGCGGATGTTGAAGCTCCTCCCATCGCAAGCCCATTGAAGGTGATAAGATGCTATTTTCTTATCCACTGTGAGTCCTGGGTGAGCTTTTAAAGCAGGACAAATCTAGGTTGCTCAGTGCCTGGAGATCTAGGAAACCGCAGGGTTTAATGCTCTCCTGCCCTCTCCAGTTCTGGTTGCAATGCACAATTCTGATTCCGTGCTGCAGAGCAAGGGGCACGGGCAACAAACGTGTTCATCCTCTTTGCTAGCTGCCAGGAAGCCAAACCACTGACTATGGAGGCAAACAGGGGCACAGAGTAACACAGCGGGAGGAAGACAAATGGGAGGAGGAGGAGGAGGAAGAGGGGGAGGAGGAAGAGGAGGAGGGGGAGGAGGAGGAGGAAAGTTGCACTGCTGTGAGGAAGGAAGGAAAGGCAGCTGCAGGCAAAGTGGCCTGGGTGCTGTGGGAAACATTCTGAAGATACATTCAGAAGGGATCTTAAAGAGATAGGCTGCAAGACTACAATATGTTCTCTGACAGAATGTAGGGAAACAGGAGCTAGATGACTCACATAGTCCAGAAAGTTGTCCTCCTAGTGGGGCAAACCCTGCCTGGCAAACCCTTTGACGTGATTAAAGTTGCCTCCTAGGCCAGTGATGGCGAACCTTTTGAGCTCGGCGTGTCAGCATTTTGAAAAACCCTAACTTAAGTCTGGTGCCGTGTCACATATAGAAATTTTTTGATATTTGCAACCATAGTAAAACAAAGACTTATATTTTTGATATTTATTTTATATATTTAAATGCCATTTAACAAATAAAAATCAAACAAAAAAATGAGTTTGTGTGTCACCTCTGACACACGTGTCATAGGTTCGCCATCACTGTCCTAGGTGCTCCCAGCCCACTATCCCTTCTCATGAGCCATGGAAAGCAGCTGCTCTACCTACAGGTGTTACTTTGTGAGGTTAAATGTCAGCACCCATCACAGCTTTTGCCAGGAGACCTGTCAGTTGGTGACTCAGTGGCACATGCCTGGGTGCAGGTGCCATAGAGAACATGAGCAGGAGTATGAGAATGGGGGGAAGAGGACCAGAGTTCAAGGAGGCATCTACACAGAGAAGAAAAGGCAAGGGGGGGAAAGGCCATAGGAAGAACTCGAATGAACAAGAAAGCTGGAGGAGAAAACCAGCAGCCGGAAGGAAGCCGGTGCGAGTGGGGAGAGGTGAGCACCCCACGAGTCCATCTGGCTCACATGGTAGCATTTCTGGAAATGCAAGAAGTTTGCCTACTGTTCAGCACAGGGGCTCTTATAGATGAACATATTAATCCTGGCTTGGAAAGTTGGCATCAAATGCCAGATAATTAGGTGCATGCGTCTGACCTGCTTTGAGAAGGAATTGCACTTTCTCCTTCTTTGAACTCCTTGTGCATCTAGTGTAAGATAAACCTACAGTATTTGTTCAATCTACTGGTGGCTACAGGCTTGGAAACTCTGAGCCCCCTTTTCCCCCCAAAAAAACAAAACAAAACAAAAAACACTCTCCCTCTCCACTTAATCTCTCCTGTTTCTGCTAGTTCCTGCCCTCCACCCCTTGACTCTCCTTAGACTACTGCTGGCCATCAGCACCTCGGGGCTCCCCCTCCTTAATTAAACCAGGGCGTATGGACAGCAGTACACTCCATCCCTGCCTGCTCGCAGCTCCCAGAGGCATCCCTTCACTGCATTGAAGTTAATGAAAAGTGTGATAAGCCCACTGTTTCATTTTCCCTTAATTAATCCAAGCGATGGTCTTGTGCTAAAGTCATTTGGGTTTGGATACTGAGCCTCTGGGTCAACATCTCACTCGCTGGCAGTGACAGAAGCTCCTTGTCTTGGGCTCAGATAACCTTTCTCAGGCCGAGGCCACCGGGACCTTCCCCAAGGAAGGAGCAGCTTAGCCGGATCCAGGCTGCCGGCTGGCCTCCTTCCCTGGAGCTTAATGACAAGATCCATGTGTTACCGTGAAAGTCAACTGAGAGTCTAGAGGGGGAAAGAGTACATGGATGATGCTCCCAGTAGCTGGGGGCACAAAGGCATTTCCCGCCAATGGTGAGTTTCCTGAGTCGTTCCCCTATTCTGATGGGACAGCTGAAGATGACAGGAGAAGAGAAGGACTCAAGTAAGTCATCCAGTGGACGTGTCCAGAAAGATCAATTCTGATTCACTGGGGTTTTTGTTGTTGTTTTCTTTTGATGAGGAGAAAAGCCAAAGATGAAAGGATGTGAAGGGTTTTGTCTGGTGGAAGGGACAGTAGAAGAGACAGTCAAGGAACCAATGGGCGGTGAGGTCTAGGAGGAAGTGCCTAGAGGTCTCCTCTAGGGGGCACACAGGAATCACCCAAAGAACACTTTACAACAAGACCTTGTGCCCATGCTCACAGATTGACTGCATTGGCCTCAGAGGGAGCCCCAGATCAGCCTTTCCAGGGGAAGGTCCTGTACAAGGATGACTGAGATGACCCCCCTGGTTAGTACACTGAGGGCTCTGTGGCCTTCGCTCTCCTGTAGACTCCCAGGCTTCCTTTGTTGGGAAGGCACTCGAAGCTTGTAGTATATCTGATATGAACTTGGGGAGTAGGAGCATCTGATGTGGCCTAGGTTGCCCTGGCCTTCTCGGGGGTCCTGACAGTGCAGGCTCAGGAACGGAGACATCCTGTGGTGTCAAGGTGGCTCTCATCTGTCACTGTTCTGTAGCTGCTCAGAGATGGGGAGGAAAGGGTTTTGACAAGTATGAAGGACTGTGTGTGTCTGAGGGTAATGTCTCGTATTAATGGGGGACATTAATTATTTCCTTTCTCTTCTAAGACTCCTTTTCATGCAGATTTTGACAAGTAACTGCTTTTATTCCCTCCCCTTGATGGGTAGATTGGAATAATGTCTTA